TTTGTGATTTTAATTGGCTAAACTATTATGCATGATCGGGATCATCATTTCCTTATTTGGAACGTTCCTACCTCGACCCATATAATCACTCTTTATAAATACTTTTTTTAAAAAGTTCTTAATTAACTAACTTGGTAATTATAAAAAAATAACTATATACTGTATATACGTACAACAAAATTTTATTAAAAATCACTTATCTAAACTTTAAACCCTATTATCAAATCAACTTTAACTTAATTTTTGTATTACACAGATTTACAAATTATACAGTCAGACCTCTCTAAATACATTGCTGCGGGACATATGCAAAATTGAGTCAAACGTGCATTTAGAGAGGTACTGCATTTAGGGAGGTAAAAATCTATAAGTGTTAAACAGTTGACATCAACCTGCGTTATATCAAAATTTCCTCATATATATCAACTTTAATATAAACTCTCGTTAATATTATCAACATGAATATAAAGGTGATCCAAATAAGTTGATACTAATGAGGGTCAACTGTATTAGTTGGGCCCAAGAGAAGACATGCATTTAGGGAGGTTGTATTTAAAGGGGTCTTACTGTACTATATGGTTAAAAATTTTTTTATTAAATATTCAATAAATTATTTGGTAAATAATTTAAACATACTAGTAGTGTTCAACACCACAATTGCTATATCTCAAAGCAAACTAAAAAACCTATTAAGTAAAAATGTTGAGTGTTTTTTAAAAACTTATGTTAATCAAGTTTATAACTATACCCAGGGTTGGCAATGGAGTTTAATGGAGTTTAATGGAGCCCAATAGAGCTGCGAATGGAACCAATGAAGCTCTGAATAGAGCCAATTAATACTAGGTTTTTGAGCTCCATTCGCATAACCATTGAGCTCCATTCCAACCCTGATTGTACCCTACTCTAAATTTTATAGTAAAACTATATATGGACTGAATGCTATAGAAATCAACAAAAAAAAAGATCAATTTTTATGTTATAAATTTTAATACAACTATTTTTGTGTCTTAAGTAAAAATGATCTTGATCTTATTCTAAATTAATTATATAAAAAATTGCTTTTAATAAATTTGTTAATGTCCCCCTTTCTATAGCACCTAGTCCATATGGTGTTGAAAACCATTGGTGTGCTTTAATATTCTAATTTATATATTTGAACATTCATTTAGTGAAAAAAGGCATAAAAACCATTTTGTGTTAATATAATTAAAAACCAAAATTTTTATGTATTTAGTGAGTATACGCAATTCGAGTATACATACTATTCATTGGATCAGACCATTAGTTATACTTAAATATTTATTACTGTATTAGTTTAATTATTATTATAACTAGCTTCATTTATTTAATTGTGATGCGATTAAAAATTCAATTAAACACATAAAGTTCGGAGATCAAGATGCGTAGTGTTTCAAGTCGATATTGCATTATTCGACTTAGTTCAACCGGTTAAATAATTCTTTAAAAATTCTAGGCTGCGTAAATATATAATGCAAGATAAAAAATAAGAATAAAAGTTTTTGTCGCTTCTTCGGTGCAGGTAAGAATGAGGAGACAAATAAGAACAAGTACCAGTTTTTTTTGTTGAGTCGCCTACCGCTAATGCTAGTACTTTTTCTATAGGTCCTCGAGTTCATTTTACTCGTTATTTGGTCGCTGGGTACTTTAGATTGTTGGCATAGGATAACTGGGTTTAATACTTTTGGGCTCGCTGATCTTGCATGTATTTGCCAATTTACATGAATTTAGAGGGCGTCGTAAACGAAATGGACATTTGGATAAGTCTTTATTTATACCTGCTCATTTTATTCACTTGATCTTTACTAAATTATTTTCCTGTCATGGTCATCAACGGGCATCTTATCGCATCCTGGATCAACTTCACTTTGAGAATGTCACGTAACGACTTTTTTTCCTTTTTTTTTGTTTTTAATTTAGGCACATTGTGCAATGATTTTTTAGCCTTTTTTTATTTGTGTAAAAATAAAACAATGAACGTGGCCAACAGGAGTTTCCAGATTATAATTTATTATTGGCAGATTCAAGTTAAGATAATGACCGACTATGCCGGCTTAAAATTATCGACCATGCTAAGCTTGGAAATTTTCAATCGACTACAAATGGGTGCATCATTTAAATTTTCCCCTTTCAGCTCTCAACCTCTCTCCTCTTTCTCGTCGTCTTCGAGCAGTATCTTCTTTTAAACGTTCAATCTATAAAATATATATTATGTTAAAAAATCATCCTGCAATAAACAATGATTTAATTACCATGATCTCACTTTTGCTTTCACTGACTCTTCCGTAAAGACAGTTTTTCTTAACTGCTTTGCAGCTTTCTCGCCTTCTTCTAAATCTATTAGAATAAGAGAATTAGAAATAGTGACGGTTTATATATATATATATATATAATTAAATTACCTTCTTTCATAAGCCTTCGCTTAGAATCCAAAGCTTCTGTTCTTTTTTTAACTGCAATGCGGGCTTTATATGTATTATCAAATTCTAGTTTTTTTTGTGGATCAGTTAAAGTTTGATATGCCTTTGATATTTTGTGAAATATTTTTGTAGCTATAATGTTAAAAACGAGTTATATCTGATTGTTCACAAAATAAGAAACAAGCCAGAATAAAAAATGAGTTCTCTAACCTTCCTCCGTATTACCCCGATTTTTTACTGGATGGAAACAAATCATTCTATGATTGATATGGTTACTAATAATCTTTCTTCTTTAAGCGATTGTCCCGTAGAGCTTGTCCACAGTATAATTCGATGACGTACAGCTAAGTT